TTTACTTAAAAAGCCGAAACTGTCACCCTGAGACTAGCAGTTTTTACCCTGACACGTGTAGTCTTGATTAATTGAATCGAATTTTAAAGAAAGTCAGGGAATATTTGTGCTCGTTGTATTCACATAAACTATATTGCATTTTTAACGGAACTCTGTGTACAATCTGAAAGATATTGATGCCCTGTTTGCAATGTTTTGCGTGTTTAACAATGGCCAATATGGGGTAATGTAAATGGGTAGTCGTATCAGCGCCAAATTAATCCGGCTCAGAAATCATGTCAAACTGAATAAGGGCAGCAACTTGATCCAAATAAAGCGCTACTACATGAGATTATAACTACTATTTAACTTGACTTCGCGGGCGGTGAGAACGTTTACAAAAAAATGAATTTTCTAAAAAATCAATCATTTATGAACCAAAAGCTAGACAAATACTTCACCGATGAGTTTAGTTCTCGGTTGTTTTTATCTGAGCGTTTTAATTTCTATGTTACATCTAAAGTTAATTTTCAAACCGGGGCTTTTCATTATGCAACGCAAGAAAAATTGTCTGAACAATAGTTTGTTTGGGAATTTATAACCCATCTGTCTTGAAGCCGTTTCAACCTTGATTCGGATACGGTGCCGTGAAATGGGACAGGCTCAATTTCAGGCTCATCATGTTCTGCGCTGCTCGGATCACTTAGTGTTACTGGATCTTTTCAGCAATTCCGAGATCAAGAGTTTTATTATCGGTAACTAAACTTTTTCCCGTAACCAACTTTTCTTACAAATCTGCAAGAAATTGAACTTGCTTTGTTATTGAACCTTAACTACTTCCACGGGCCTTCCCACTTGGTCTAGAAGTGAGACGGTTGCCTTCACAGCGTATGGTCTGAGGTTTGAGTCCCGTATGTATGAATAAAGTTTTTTCTGGGGAAATTTGAATTATCGTGGCTGTTGATGTCGGCTTATATTTGGTCAGCTTAGTTGCTAAATCATAGATTTTTCTTGTTCTGTAGATAATTTTGATTGCAGTTGCAAGTGATGATGATTTATTCCTGTAATTTGTTAATTTACTAGCCCTGACCTTTTTTTTATACTTTTTTCGCCTAAAAGCTTTATTCGGCCTAAATAGTTCCTTTCGGCTTTTGTTTCCTTGGTTCAGTCATTTTATTTTGTGTTGTTTGAATAGCAAAAATTGATAATTATTTTTGGAAAAATAATAATTCATGTCGGTTGTGATTAAACTTCAAGTTTTAAAACTTAATTTCTCAAATTTTGTATGATTATTTTCTAGGTTTTTTCTTTCATTTGTCGGCTTAGTGACCGCTCTGTAACTGGCGGTTTTAGGACGATTCGTAACTATATATGTGACTACTAGGTTATTTTAATTGGCGGTTTTTAGGATGAGGCAGTATTTAGGATGAGGTTGTTGGGATGAGGGCCAGTGGCGGTATTTGGGATGTTCTGTTAATCTCTAAATTTTGACCTCAAAGTTCTGTTAATCTCTATAATCTGTCTTAATTAAGTTGCATTATCAGCATACAAGATTACCAATTCAAACTGTTCTGGACTTAATCTTGAATTTCCTATCTCCGAATTCATTAAACTTTGGATTACCATTCGGATTAGAATAAGAATATTGCTGGAAATATTTTAATCTCGCACTAATTTGAAGATATTGCGATGAAGTCTAATTGAAATGAAATTTACCTAGAAGTGAGACGGTTGCCTTCACAGCGTATGGTCTGAGGTTTGAGTCCCGTATGTATGAATAAAGTTTTTTCTGGGGAAATTTGAATTATCGTGGCTGTTGATGTCGGCTTATATTTGGTCAGCTTAGTTGCTAAATCATAGATTTTTCTTGTTCTGTAGATAATTTTGATTGCAGTTGCAAGTGATGATGATTTATTCCTGTAATTTGTTAATTTACTAGCCCTGACCTTTTTTTTATACTTTTTTCGCCTAAAAGCTTTATTCGGCCTAAATAGTTCCTTTCGGCTTTTGTTTCCTTGGTTCAGTCATTTTATTTTGTGTTGTTTGAATAGCAAAAATTGATAATTATTTTTGGAAAAATAATAATTCATGTCGGTTGTGATTAAACTTCAAGTTTTAAAACTTAATTTCTCAAATTTTGTATGATTATTTTCTAGGTTTTTTTTTTTTCATTTGTCGGCTTAGTGACCGCTCTGTAACTGGCGGTTTTAGGACGATTCGTAACTATATATGTGACTACTAGGTTATTTCAATTGGCGGTTTTTAGGATGAGGCAGTATTTAGGATGAGGTTGTTGGGATGAGGGCCAGTGGCGGTATTTGGGATGTTCTGTTAATCTCTAAATTTTGACCTCAAAGTTCTGTTAATCTCTATAATCTGTCTTAATTAAGTTGCATTATCAGCATACAAGATTACCAATTCAAACTGTTCTGGACTTAATCTTGAATTTCCTATCTCCGAATTCATTAAATTTTGGATTACCATTCGGATTAGAATAAGAATATTGCTGGAAATATTTTAATCTCGCACTAATTTGAAGATATTGCGATGAAGTCTAATTGAAATGAAATTTACCTAGAAGTGAGACGGTTGCCTTCACAGCGTATGGTCTGAGGTTTGAGTCCCGTATGTATGAATAAAGTTTTTTCTGGGGAAATTTGAATTATCGTGGCTGTTGATGTCGGCTTATATTTGGTCAGCTTAGTTGCTAAATCATAGATTTTTCTTGTTCTGTAGATAATTTTGATTGCAGTTGCAAGTGATGATGATTTATTCCTGTAATTTGTTAATTTACTAGCCCTGACCTTTTTTTAATACTTTTTTCGCCTAAAAGCTTTATTCGGCCTAAATAGTTCCTTTCGGCTTTTGTTTCCTTGGTTCAGTCATTTTATTTTGTGTTGTTTGAATAGCAAAAATTGATAATTATTTTTGGAAAAATAATAATTCATGTCGGTTGTGATTAAACTTCAAGTTTTAAAACTTAATTTCTCAAATTTTGTATGATTATTTTCTAGGTTTTTTTTTTCATTTGTCGGCTTAGTGACCGCTCTGTAAATAGCAAACGCTCATTTAATGCTGGTAGTTGTGTTTCTCGATAGTTTTTCTTCATCTTGATTTGTCCGTCTCATTTTCGATTTACTAGCCGACGATGATACAGCTGGGCTTAAAACATTAAGAGTTTAAACGGTGCACTGAATAGGCGCGCAATTTGGTGTCTGCTGGTCATTGGAATCCAGAGACAAGTCTTGAGATATTTTCCAAATTCTAGGCAGATTCCGCTTACAAATTTTCCGTGCAAAGTTACGATTCCGTGCAAAGTTACGATTAACGTAAGCTTTGCCTGTTAATTTGTTTTGTCGTGGATTCCGCAACGAGCGAATATAGCTTGTTGTTCCGGAAATTCGCATATGTAAGCGAGTTCCGCAATTTGTAAGCGGATTCCGCAAATGTAAGCGCATTCCGCAAATATAAGTGGATGCCGTAGTTTTGTTTATTATACTGAACTAAACCAGATCTTTCGTGAACAATTAAGCAATATAGCTAGAATTAAAATTGAGCAAATTCGGAACCTAAAAGCAAGGATTTAACCATTTCAGTTGAAAGCAATAACAAATTTTTAATCATTGTTTGACAAAAATTGTGGATTACCCCGGTAGTGTTTTGAATAGATTTCCGGGCAATCTGTTTTGAAGATAATGAATTAGGAAAAACGTCGCTTTAAAACCGAATAAGCAAAATCATTATTTAGGATTAGCGGGTTTTTAGTGTGACCTTGTACTATGTATGTTTTTTATGTGTCTATAACCACTGGCGGTTTTAGGACGATTCGTAACTATATATGTGACTACTAGGTTATTTCAATTGGCGGTTTTTAGGATGAGGCAGTATTTAAGATGAGGTTGTTGGGATGAGGGCCAGTGGCGGTATTTGGGATGTTCTGTTAATCTCTAAATTTTGACCTCAAAGTTCTGTTAATCTCTATAATCTGTCTTAATTAAGTTGCATTATCAGCATACAAGATTACCAATTCAAACTGTTCTGGACTTAATCTTGAATTTCCTATCTCCGAATTCATTAAACTTTGGATTACCATTCGGATTAGAATAAGAATATTGCTGGAAATATTTTAATCTCGCACTAATTTGAAGATATTGCGATGAAGTCTAATTGAAATGAAATTTACCTATAAACTATGAATTAGCTTACTTCATTTTTTTTTCATTCATTGAGTGTCTGAGATAGGAAAGGTGCTCACTTTTTCAGTAATTCAGAATTAGCTGGTGACTTCAAACTGTTGGCATTAATTGTGAACTGCTGATAGTCAATTGTTGGACATCTGGCTGGTGACCCACAAATAATAGATTTAATTCAAAAATGTGATTTCAAGACAAGTATATATGCTACTGGAATGTGCAAACAAAATGCGGATTCTGCTTACAATGTGCAGATGCCCCTTACAGTTACGGATTCGGCCAGTGTAGTTTTACTTAACACTTAAAATTACTTATTTTTCGTGTTCCTCATAATTTATTGGATTTTTTGGAGCAATTTTGAGCGATACAGTGTTTCAGCTATTTGATGGTGGACTCCAAAACAGCCAAGAAGATCAGAGAAAGATAACAATGTCACGACATATCTGTTTTCGACCTGTTGCGGAATCCGCATAGATTTCACAAAATACAGTTTAGCCTTGTAATGTTAACGCTCCTATGTTTTTTGGTGCGGCATATAAGTCCAGCCCTTTCAGTCACGATTCGTATTCCAGAAGATTATTCAGCAAGCTGTCCCAGTCTGAGTTTTTAATTTTCTAATTTATGAGCTAAGATTAGATAAGTTGATAGGCCGTCTAGAAAATTATCGATTTCTTAAGGAATCCCGTTTACTACATTTAGCAAAATTCCAAGATCCGCACTTGGTCACCATGATGTGTATAAGTAAAGCAACTCAAATATAATTGGTTTTACAATATTTCAAGTTTTAAATCCCTATTCCATACATTAGCCTCATGTTCAAAAATGTAAAAAACTGCCCGCTATTTTCAGTGTCGAATGAGCTCGTAAAATATTGATATCAGTTAGTTCTGCCACTAAGGGCGCGTGGTTGTTCTCAAGACCATCCTGATACAGACACTCATTGATCAAAGTCGAACTTATGATTACCAATTGGTTCATCTGGCTTCTTTGGCAATTCAGAATATGCGCCGTTACCAGTTTTGAGTCTCTCTCAGGTGTAAAAAGTGCAATGACGACGCATTTAATTGGTTGCAAATTCGCCACGCGGAAGAATATCGATGATTAAATGCTCCCACTCAATTTATACGGCGTAGTCTTGGGAGGGACGAAACTATCCTATGTCCTCTGACAGCGGGTGTCCTCTAAGTGTGTCTGGGTCAGGCAGCTGGAGAGTCCAATCCCCCTCCCCCTCACCCGCCCCCTCGTCCCCGAGATCCTTCAGTGGGACAAACACCACACCACCTTCGCCTCACCACCACACCCCTCGTCAAAACCAGCAACAACATTACAATCCACGTGCAACGCCCAGTCGAGGGGGACCGGGCGCGGACTTCTTTCAAGAGGCATTTGCTGCTACCCCTTCAGGTGTTTCTCCGCCCCATCACCCCCATTCGCAGCTGACTGGGAGAACCACTAGGAGCCTGGAAGAGAATCACAACTCAGAGTCCAGTAAGTTCAATGTCAAAATAAATCAATCTAACCACTTCGTCTCTATATCTGAGTTTCATGTGCTTGAATTTTTGAGTGTTTTGATTTTGACCAGATACTCTAAAAACAAGGAAATTTCTCTTATGACCTTGAACTGTCAATTTATAGGCAACACGTCAATGTTATATTTAATGCATAAATCAACAGTTGTTTTTGTATCCAAAAGGTGCATAACATGTTCGGATGTTCAATTCTCAAAAACAGAAAAACTTGTTTCAACCTTTTGTGCGAATGATAAGCTGAAGTTTTTAGCATCACTTGGACATGGGAATGTGTGGCGGGATGTTGCGGGCGATTGTGGCGGAGGACCAGGTGTGGCTATGGGGTCCATTGGAATGGGACTGAAAGGGGAGAGATCTCCTCTTCCGAGGGTCGACGTAGAGATGTATGAAGACACCGACTTAGCAGACATGCAAGATAAGCATACGAGCAGTAGCAGACTGTCGAGTCTTGACTCAGCCCCCGATTTATCATCTCAATCACAGCCATCTGGCCATCTACATACTCAATCGTTCTTCAATAGCAGCCCAATTTGCTCCAGCGGAGGACCCCCGACATCCCCATCAACTCTTGGGGCTGCAAGGTCGTCTTTTCAAAGTGGGGCAAGTAGTAGCAGGGGTGGATCCGCTTTTGATTTGGCTAGTGCGATGTCATCATGCACTGAGCAACACTCCAATAGTTAGTCATGACTTATTTCTTCAGTTTTTGTAACAACTTCGTTTTTAATTATTTGTTAAGCTCATTTGAAGCGAATGTAAGTAGTTGGAAAATGTCTAATGGAAAAGTCGTCCATGGAAACAGGGAGAGTTTTCTTGACTTTCGTGTAAATTTTATGAGTTGTATTTTTTCACAGGCGGCGGTCCTATGGGAGGTCTGTTCTCTGATGATGAGTGGACTGCTCCTAGCCAGGATCTGCAAAGAAGACTGATTGAGCAGATGCAACTCCTTTTCAGTGACGAGAACCTAGTTAAAGATGCGTTTCTGCGCAAACATGTGCTCAAGAACAAGGACGGATTCGTAAACCTCAAACTCATCACTAGTTTTAAGCGTATCAAGACACTCACAAAGGACTGGCGAACTCTGGCTTACAGGTAGATAATACGCATATATGGTTGGTATGGCACTGGAGCATTATATTAGGGATTTTTGCCAAAAAAAATGGTGCAATTGCGGCTATCTAACACCAGGTCCTAAATGTTCCAGTCAACAGCTGTTACAAAACTTCAACTGCTCTAGGAAAAGATTGTAAACCTTGTTCATTGGAACACCATAAATTTGGTATCCGAGATTGCTCTGCGTTTTTAGGGGCTTACTATGACAATTTAATGATATGCACAATTGGCTCCATCAACTCATTCTCAAAATTCATGTCAAAGGGAAGATTGTCTAAATAGCATTAGCCTTGGCCACGTTTTCGCTGTCATATTAAATTATTTGCTATTTATAGCATCCAGAATCTTCGACCCGACTCGTTTTTGATGAACCGAGAGCGGACCAAGGTTAAACGGACTCATCCGTTGCCAGACTTCGAGGGCGGTCGTAGTAATAGGACAGTGGTTGTATTCAACCTGCCCCCACCTCCTTCGATGGTCAGCAGCATAGCCTCAGTGGGTCAGTTGTTCGCATCGTGTGGAGAGATGGCCAGCATCCGGATATTGCGTCCCGACAAGCCTCTGCCCAGCGAAATCAGGCGCCACATACAGGTAATTGAATCTCTTCGAGTTCAGTTCAGATCACATGATTCAGATATTTCATTTTGAAAAGCTCATCGTTATCAAATCGGAACAAAGTTTTTTTCCAAGTTTGATCAGGAACAACTTGTCCAACAAAATCACTGAATCATTTCGGCCAACAATCGGCATATCTGTCCGTCAGATATATGTTGAGAATGTCTGCGATTTGACTTATCCTTCTACTTACACACGTTTTTCATTTTTGTGTTTAACTTTTAGTCAACAAAAAAGCAGTGAGGGTAATTTTATGTCCTAAACTATCTGAAATTATGATTTATCTGATAAGTTTTCGAGAAAAAAGTCCGTTGTTTCCTCTTTTTCATAGATGATTACATTGCCTGTATGTTGAATTTTCAAATGAATGTTCATGGTTTCCAAGTGTAATAGAGAAGAGATTGACCGTGGCTAGTCAGCAAAATTTAAGTTTTTGAAAAATAATTTTAAGTTATTCAGTTTTTTTTTAAATTAGATGTTTTTTTTTCTGCTTAATGAAGTCGCCTTAAGTCGGAAAAACCTGACTTCAGCCATTATAAAAAAAGTAAACTCTGTTTTTTTTTCTACTATTTCTTTCATTTAGTCTTGCGAGGTCGCCTATCAAGAAGACACATGCACTGCCGTGATTGAATTCGAAAATGGGGACAGTGTACACCGTGCAGTGGAGCAACAACAGCTGATCAACCAGGCACTTAGAGAGACCATGACGCCGGCACATCCTCAGAACCAACAAGTCTCTCCATCCGCCCAGGTTCCACCAGGACCAATCGCAGAATTGCTGGTACAAGAACTGGATCAAACAAGGAAAACATCTAGTCATGCTTCCTCCCAATCAGCAGGTGTGAAGAAAAGGGTGGTAACTGAGGATTATTCCGAAATGTTAATTAGTAATAATCTAGACACGAGTAAGTTATTTGCTAGTTTGGACAACCCAATCATGGGCAAAATTAAAATTGAATTGCTAACGTTGAATTTGATATTCGTGGTAAATTATTGATACTCGTCCTTAGTTGTTCTATTGTGTTAAATTAACTACTTACTTTCTGTCAAATTTTTTAACTAGACTTTATGCAATTTGATTAAGAAATCCATTATCTGTTTACTGTGATTTAGGGGGCAATGGGTCGAAGAGACGCAAGAGAATTGAGGAAAAACGACAACTATTTATCAACTCCAGGTCAGCCGCCATCACCGAATCTCTAGCTGGGGGCTACACGCCTCCACAGCGACATTCGCATGCACAAGGCAATCGAATAATTGGTGGGACAGGGGCTTCTATCAAACTAGACGCGAGGAGCTGCATCAGCAGGAGCTACACCTCAACTCCAGCGCCCGGTTCCAATGTGGTAACTGCTTTGACGGATCCTTTCTCAAAAAGTGCTGCAAATTCACGTTGTGTGTCGCCGAGTGCATTTGGGTTCTCTTCCATCCAACAGCCTCCATCTTCACCTTCAACTGCCACTTTCTGCAAAGTGGTCGGAGGTTTTGGTCAATTGTCCCTTCCTCAGGATCGCTCGGGTGCCCTGAGTCGCGGGGGCAGCAGCGAGTCTTTATCAGGATCCGAATACAGCGCCCACAGCCGAGGCAGGACACCTTTCGCTCCGGGCTCTGATCGGATGTTGCGGGCACCGTCAGGTCATTTCTTTTCAGCTAGTGGAACTCGTCATAATACAAATACAACAGCATGGAGGGCAGCGGAGGGAGAGAGGGAACGAGGAAGGTTGCAACAGAGTGGCAGTCATTCTTCTCATTTTCTTAGTCCACCTGGAAGTTCTTTCCAGAGCATATCTTGCTCCAGGTGAGAAAAAAAATGATTTTACTGGAAATAATTTTTTCGGGTCTACGCTTTTTTTCTGTGGTTCAAGAGAGAAGTTGCTTCGATTGTATTTAACCAAGGAATGTACCTCCAAAATTTTACATGTAATTATAGATATATTGAGTTTTAAAAAAAAAAGTTAGTCACAAAAAATTATAGATGAAACATAGTCTGTAAATCAGATGGGTAAAAAGAGAGTTGTTGCCTGGCAATTGTAACACTTCTTACGTCATGTGTGTGCAGTCCCTCAGAAGGAGGCAGTAACGACCACCTGTCAGGTTGCTCCCGAAGTCAGACCTCATTCAACGTCGTACCTACCCAACACCAACCCCACCAACAGACTAACCATCCACACAACCCCCTTTCCCCTGGTGGGGGAAGGTGGCTCAGCCCTCACGAGGAGAAAGACAGTCGACAGAGCATGGCTTTACATTTGACCCCTGCAACACACCAACAGCATGGACAGAGGAACAGTGGAAGGGGGAAGTTCGAGTACCCAATACATCACTGGAACGAAATGGCCAAGCTAGAAGGTGATTGATTGTATTATTAATTTGGTTTATTTACGAACCAGCGCATCCTGGAACTTCGTTAAGCAAGTGGGGATAAATCATGAATACTGCCCGTAGAATAATAAACTCTCTCCATGTGTTATGTCGTAAATCGACAGTTTTGGTCATACGATGCCTATCAAGTTTTTCTTTCTATCCTAAGTTCTTTCAAAAATAGCCTCCTGGTAAAAAATTTTGTCAATGTATTACTTTTATGTTGTGAGAAATAAATGCGAATTAAGATAAAGAGAGTTAGTAGTGTTTCAGCTCCTTCTGCAATCAGCGAAAGACGTTACAGTGACATCCCAGTCCACCGAACAACCAGTGGGGAACAGGAGGCTATTATGAGACCCCTGCATCACCACCAGAGCCACTCCGGGGATCCCCTCAGGGGACAGACCGCGGAAGCCATGGCACCCAGTCTGATACCCTGGAAGAGAACATCCTTCAGTCTAGATCAGCAATGTCTCTCATCTGTGGGCGTATCAGGATCCCTGGGAATGGGAAGCAGTGATTCACAGCTTCTTCTTAGTTCACATCATTCGCAGTCGACATCGCCCTCTCCCTCATTTGCGTTTCTAGATGAGGGTAATAGTGATAACATGGGCGGTATGGATCCCTTCGTGCGTCTACCGTCGTTGCACTCACATCCCTACTCGTGTGTTCCCTTCCCCTTCATGTCACATCTCCTAAGCCACGGTCAGCACTCCAAGAGTTTTAATTGTAAAAAAAGCTTCAAAAGTTTGCATAGGAATTTTTAAGAATCGATAAATTGAGTGAAGACTTATAAAGGTCGTAATGATTTTTTTGCCGGAATCTTCGTTAAAGTTTGTTGAGGGTCAAATTTACTTTTTCGCGGTTTGACTTTTGATTTCTTTTTAAGTTAAGTTCAGTTCAGTTGAAAGGAAGGCAAACTCCATTAGCGAACATAAAAGTGTTAAGGTCACTAAAAACGTAATTGACTTCTAGTTTCGAAAGAGGGGTGTAATTTTAAGATTTCCCAGCGAAATATAAAAATTTTACTGATTGATCCAGAACTTATTGTCTCAAATTGGGTTAATTTTTTATCAAAAAAGTGCCTTCACTAATTTTTTAGAAATTCAAAGAGCTTTAAGGGCATCTAGTTCTTTTTGAAATTCGAAAGTTGATGTTTGAAATTATTTCAGAAAACATTCAGTATTTTTTGTTCTCTTGCGTTCATTGACTCTTTTTCAAAGGTCTGTTTCCTATGTTTTTAATGTTCTGTTCATTTCCTTAGTTTAAGGGAAGGCTCTATCGAAAACGAAAAATCGACCAGCAAAAATGTAATTGTTATGCTTTATCGAACAGCAAAAATGAAAATGTAATAAAAAAAATGTGATTGACTTCTAACTTGAAATGTGGATTTTAATTTTCACAGCCGAATAAAAATTTATCTATTGATCGAGTTTTCTCAAATTAACTTATTTGTATCAAAAAAATGTCATTCATGAATTGTTCTCGAAATTCAAATAGCCTTGTTTAACCACATGCCTGGGACCATTTTTCAAATCGGACCTTAAAAGCAAAAAGTTTTATAAGAAACAAGGATAATAAGCTGCTTAGAACTTTCCGACCATTATGATTTAACTGAAGAGTTTCTAAATTGAAGAAAAATTTCAGAAAACAAAAACAACTCAGAAGACTCATTTTTAATGAAAACTATTGTAGGTAGTAGAACGCAGAATAAGATATAACTGGGTGTCATCAAAATGGAGCTCAGTTTCATCAAGTTTTGGTCTGAAATGTATTTTTAAAAAAGTTTGGCCATTTGACGACATTGTGAAAACTTTTTCGAATTTTTTAAGATAGGATATTTCAGTTTGTCTTCAATTTGGAAAAACTTTGAAAAAAAGTATTTGAGTTTTTTATTTTGTCTTTAAAGTTGTTTTTAAGAGTCAATGAACGTAGTGAAGGATCTTATATAGGTCTTGATGGTTTTTTTTCTTCAGGAAATTCGATAAAGTTAGTAAACGCTCAAATTTGATTTTTCGTGGTTTGACTTGGGGTTTTCTTTTAAGCATAGATCATTTGCTATGTTAAAAAGAAAAACAAAATCCAGTATCGAACAGCAAAAGCTTTAAGGTCACGAAAAGCGTGATTGACTTCTAGTTCGAAAGTGGATTTTGTTTTTCAGATTTCTCGGGGAATAGAAAACTTTTTATTGATCCAGTTTTCTAAAATTGGGTTACTTTTATCAAAGAAGTGTCAATTATACATTGCTCTTTAAATTCATATAGCTTTATTGTGATCTGTTTTCAAGTTCGAAAATTGAATTTTTTTGCTTTTCAAAAAATAAGTCGGGTTTTTTTTTGGTTTCCTTGCGTTCGTTTATTGAATCTTTTCCAACTACCTGTTGGCTATGTTAGTTAAATTATATACAGAAGCTAAGCGAAATAAGAAAATCGATCAGTAGAACTAGCTCCTAAATATCTTTTGGGTTTTGCTGCATTTTTTCAATAAATTTTCACTAACTGTCAAAACTTTTAGCTTCGCTGATTTTTCACTTTAAATTGTGTTTTCATGAGTTTTTCAGATTCCTGTTGAACAATAGCGAAGCTAGTATTGTAATTGAACATTAATTAAGTTCAGCTCCGCAGTTTGCGACGAAGAGTTTAAAAAAGTTTTCGGTCTCCTAAAGCTCATTGACATTTTCCAGAACGTCTGTTAGCTGCTTTCATTCAAGCTTGCTGCGAAGCAACTTGATTCAAAATATATTAGTGTTTTGGGATAGCTTGAAAATCAATTTGGTATTGCTAAAAAGTCTACCAATTATCTGAAATGTTTTTTGAACATCCTAGACCAGCCACTGCTTGGACTGATTTGATTTCTTATGTTTCTGAGATATCGAAAAGGCCTAGATGTTTTTCAACATTATATATTCTGATTTTTTTCTTTCTGAACCGCAAATGGTGTGTGGCTCTGCTTCGTTTCTGTTTTGATGATTAGCGAGGGTAAAGGGTCAATTTTGCATTATCTGCCATTTCAATGTGAGTATTGAAAGGGATCGTTTCTGTGCAACCTGTTTCCTAGTTAATTTGAAAAATTTTCCTAGAAAACGTGGGATCGGGTGCTGATTTGGAGGCAAATAGACATCCGCAGCCGCCTCAGACAATATCTTTATCTACACAGTGTAACGACGCCTACTCTAAGCAGGGTGTTGCTCCAAACTTATCAGGCGGAGAGGGGCACTCACCCACCCCAACTAACAGTAATGTACTGCCACACCCTTCTCACTCCCAGCGCCACCTGTCACTGGGAGGTCCCACTCCAAGTGTGAGCATAGAAGCCTCAGGCACTGCTTTGGACACTTTCGGAATGGGTTCCCTGGACTTGGGAGGTGCAAGTGCGATGGTCACTCAAAATATCAACACAACAACAGCCAACATACTAGATACACAACTGCAGCCACCATATACACAACAGCAGCAATATACACAGCATCAGCAAAATACACGTTGGGGAACCGAGGTTACTAGAGAAGAAAAAGGTTGGGATAAGTTGAACTGACCTAACTCAAACTTGCTTGGACAGGTGAACATACAATGAATGGTGTTTTCTCGAGTATGTATCGAAGCTTGAGCCGAATCTCGAAAAACCGATGATTGATGAAACTTAAATACTTCTAATGAGTTACTTCTTAGCAATATTTTAAATTATTTGCTACGATACTCGCGAGCACAGTCACTCATAACGATGGCGAACTAAAGTAACGAAGCTAGTCGTGTTTTTATGATGTAAGTGTTGTTGTTTATCATTCTGGATGTAAGCTTTGTAAACCATTCTACATAAAATCTTAGCCATTACTTACTTGTTTTCAAGTAGCCATCCGTGTTTTGTGTCTCATCTCTATTTTTTTCTGTCAGACGTGCAATATAGCTGCTGTGCAATTATGCTGCTAATTTAGATAGATAACTTTTTCATGGTTAGCTTGTTAATTGTTGTAACTCCCCGAGAAAGCAAGGCTATGAAGTATGGAATTTTTCATTTAATAAGTTTATAGGGATGCTTGTCACAATTTAAGGGTTAAAACATACTAACTTGGATGATAAGGTATTACTTGATTCTAATTGTTGGGAGGTTAACTGGAAAGAGCTGGAGAAAAAAGTAATTCATGTAAAAGCAAAAAAAGTTAGCGCACTATTGATCATGAAATGATTCACGCTAACATTAAATGACTCACCAATGAAAATTTTTGACAAATTCTAAACTCGGTAAGTGTTACAACAATTAAAAAAAAATGACTTAGTTAATTCTTCGTACTTTTAGTTAATTTTTCTCATCTAAAAAAGAGAAAGAGAGAGGTTCTTCTTCATGTGTGTTCCATGTTTAGCCAGATGTGTCTTACCCCATCGCAATTCAATCATCCGCATCTTCACTGAAATGCACTACATCAAGTGCTTTCTTGCTCTATTTCTCTCCGTGCTTTTTGTTCACTTAATTTCACACTCACTCAAAGTGCTATATTTATAATTTATTCGAATTTAAATGTCTATTTCCTGTTCAATTAGTATGCCAATTGTTGTTACCTTCCTAATTCAAATATTTCAATGTATTCGTTGTTGTTCAAGTTATTCTAATTGTAGCGCTTGATATGAACGAAAAAAAAATGATGCAATGAAGAGAGAGGATTTGAATTTGAGAGTCAATGAACGTAGTGAAGACACTTATGTAGGTCATGTTGATTTTCCCCTCTGTTTTCAGGAAAAAGACAGGTTGTTCACGCTCAAACTTTATATTTCGGGATTTGACCTCTGATTTTATTGTTCCGTCCATTGAAAATGGGGAGGAATTTTGTATTCGAGTGTTTTAGTTTTTTTTCTTTTTGTTTTCCACGCAAAATCAGGTACCACAAACAATCATCGGATTGGGTAAGGTGATATATCATATTGAAGCCCTTTCAGTCGTGATTCGAACAAAATTTTAAAATTTCCCAAAAATTTTTTTCGTGTCGAGAAAAAAAAGCGGTTGGAAATTTTTTGATTTTTGGTCTAATTTCGAACTATTATGGCGTGAGCGTGTAGGGTTACAATCTGAATTATGCCTAATTTCCAAATATCTAAACCTTAGTTTTCTAAAGACTATCTATGGTCGGAACATTCTGTGCTACATATTAGGAAAAGTGGATTATTTGAATTTTTGTTTAAAAAATGGATATAAATTTTAAGATTTCTTTGCGGAATGCTATGTTTTCCTAGTGATTCATTGGTCTCAAATTAGGTTGTTTTTATGGAAATTGTGTCCATCATAACAAACTCAGGAAATTCAAAGAGTTAAACGAGATAGATTTGAGAGTCGATGGACGTAGTGAAACCTCTTATATAGTCGTGATTTTTGGTTTTTAGGAAAATTCGTTAAAACTTGTTTACGCTCAATTTTGATTTTTTTAAGTTCACCTCATTTCTTTGCTAAAATGAAGGCAATTTCAACTGTTGAACAGCAAAAATGTGAAGATCACAAAAAACGTGCCTCGACTTCTTATTTCGAAAACGTCACCTTTCGATCCAGTTTTCTCACCTTTTACCTTTTGATCCGGCATAAATTTTTCCAATTGAAAATTCTAGTGTTGCAGTTTTTTCGAAAAGAAGTCAGTATCTTTTTTCTGTTTACTTGCGTTCATTGGCTTTTTTTCAACTGTATATTGGCTGTATTGAATTTTTTAGTCTAATTTTGAGTCCAGCGAGGAAAGCGAGCCGTTATGTCTTAAAATGGGAAAACAGGATTATATTTTAGCGGTGAATTTCATTTTTCTTCCAACTTAATACAACGCTTCCTCTTTAACTGTTTTGTTTTTAATTTGGCCTTAATTTCAACTTTCTGTACAATTTTTTTTAAAAACAAGTCGATGAACATAATGAAGACTATATAGTCCTGATAAGTTTTTTTTTTCAGGAAACATCGTTGAAGTTTATTCGCGCTTAGTTTTTTTGCGGATTGACGTTTGATTTTTCCAACATTTGGTTCATTTCTGCTATTAAAAGAACCGTAAACTCGACTATTCAACCGCAAAAATCATAAAGTCACGAAAAACGTGATTAACTTCTTATCTCGATAATGGAATAAAAATAAAAGTATCAGAATAACCTGCAAAAAAAATGATTTTTAATCCAGTTTTCTCAAATTGGGTTTTTGTTTTTATAAAAATGGGTCAAACATAAATTGTTCTGGAAGCTCAAGCAGCGTTAAGGCCATTTAAAATATCAACTTTAATTTCTAATTTTGAAATTTTTTCAAAAAATAGTATTATTTTTCTGATAACTTGCGTTCATTGATTCTTGAAACTCTGTTTGCCATGGATTTCAGTTTAGTTTTGAGTCGAGCGAGCAAATCGAGCAATTTTGACTTATAATAGGTAAAAGGCTTGTATTTAAGCGATGATATCCTGCTTTACTACTGGAAAACTGATTTTTTGAAACTTACGACAGCCTTCCTTTTTTAAATTGATTTTCTTTAATAAAGCATAAATTTCAAATTTTCTGTGCAAGTAATTTTGGCGAGTGATTTAGTAGCACGTAATTATCCACTTAATTAGGCGCCTGGTATCTAATATCAGATGATAGCTGCGGTCAGAGTCACGTAGTCGGCTAAATCTTTTTAAAAATTCGATGAACATAATAAAGATTCTGATATATAGTCCTGATGGTTTTTCGCTTTTCTTTGAAAAAAATTCGTTGAAGTTAATTCAAAATTATTATTTTTTGGGAATTGAATTTATTTATTTTTTTTTTCAATTTAGTACACTTCCTTTGTTAATTGGGAGGTAAACTCAACTATCGAAGAGCAAAAGGGTAAAAGTCACGAAAAACGAAATCGACTGTAAGTTCGAAAATGCAATTGAGTTTCAGCTTTCTCTGTGGAAAAAAAAAACTTTACGCAATAAAATCTTAACAAATTGAGTTAATTCTATCATTGAAAGGGTCATCAAAACGTTGACTTTTGGCTCATCTTCGACTTTTCTGTAGCTCTATGTTTGCTCAGTTTTCTTTCGCAAAAGTTGAACACATAAATGTACTGAAAAACAAGCAGAGCCAAAAATTTGTTTAGGTAATACAAATAAATGGATCTACAAATGGCTGTGCAACAGTATACCTTCCGAAATGGCCTGTATTTTTGCAGCCGTACGAAAAAGTGTTTGACACTCTTTTAATTCAGCTCTTTTGATTAGCTTGTTACACTTTTGATTCAGTTGCAGTCGTTTTTTTGCAATCTGATGCTACATTATTGTTCTCTGATGGTAAATCGATTAAAAAATTATCTCTGATTAATTTGAAAGGTTCAAATGGATTAGAGCCTAAACTACATGCATTAAATCTCAATTTTTGGTCAAATTAGTGAATAGAGTTGCAAAAGCAAGTGTCGTATAATCGAAAACTAGACTTTTCCTATCAACACTTTTTTACACACCTAAGAAACACGTGCGGTAACTTTTTTTTTCTCAAATGCATTGATATTACCTGAAATGGTTTTTCATTGGCTCCCATTGCCAGAAGATGAGGTTTTTTTTGTATTCAAATACCTTGTTCTATATACTAAAAGTTGTTCTGGGTTTCGTAATTGTTCTGATTATTAGCCATTTAGTTCGTAATTTTTCTGATTATTGATCATTTGCTGTCTTCGTTTTTTAATGAGTGGTTTCAGCTTTATTTATTGTTTAAGTCACCTCATAAGGCATAGTTTTTGAGTAAAACTAATTTCTACGCATTTATGTGATTTAAGAGTCATGGGGTTTTAAAAAAATCGCCTTCAAACTTTTATAGCTTGTTGTTTTTTTATGAAAACAGTATTGCTGGCCTAATTGCCGCTCGGTTAATGACTCCTAGAGTTTTTTTGAGGCTGTTTGCTTATACGACTCGAGAAAAACTAAAAAAACTTTTGATAATTCCTTTTATCGTACAAGGCAAGGTTTGTCTAGTGTCGAAAGTCGAATTTGTTCCTTTATTGATCAATTACACTTTCCAGGCTCCTTGCCGCTTGCTCCACAATTTACGCTATTGCTTTTGGACCCATGAGAGTTCAAAAACGAGTCACAGCCGGACGCTGTTTTAGCATGTTTTTAGCATATAATTGAAGTTTTTTTTGGTGAATATATACTTAGTATTCAGACTATCGCTTGTCTGCTTGTTTTTTTTGGCTCAGTTGCGACATTCCAAATTAATTTGTGTTATAGTTATAAGCAATTTTCATTGTAGTTGCAAGTAATGTTGATTAACTCCTGTATTGTAGGTTTACTAACCCTGACTTATATAAATTGTGAATAATACATTTTATTCGGCCGGAACAATTTCGGATAATATTTTTTCTGCCTAGTCATTTCTCTTTGTATCGCTAGAAGGACAAAAATTGCTTCGTGTTGTTTTGAATACTTCAGGTCGATTGTACTACTCCGGAAAAATGTAGTTGCGTTATTTCGTTTGTTGTTCAATTCAGCTGGGGTAATTTTTCTAATTCGAGCAACTCTGAGTATAATTGATGATCACCGATCGTTTTGTTCACTTTGCAGTTGCCAAATCTGATTTTCAGTAAGATAATTTTTACGCTTTCGATATTTTAAAAAATAATTTTTTTTTTTCATATAAAATAGTTTTGACTAAAGTTTTTATTGGCTCAGTGAAATCATTATGATTGTCCGAACGGCAAAAATTGATTAGTTTTTGAATTAAAATTCAGGCTGGCACTTTTTGTTTTACTTGTGGCAGCGGATGACTTGTAATCTGGAACTAGGCTATTTTCCCGTTAACAAATTTGCTTACGCTTTCTGCCGATATGCTCCGTTCTGACATGCTTAAAAGCTGTCATGCTAATTTTCCCAAAATTGCAAAAAAAATCTTGATCGATTTGTGGCAGTAATTTTTTTCAAATTCAATTATTGCAAATTTGTAATTGTTCTGTATTTATCAACTCAGACTTTTAATAATTTTATAAATCTTTTTTCTTCTGATTAAACGAGTTCGACGTATGTTATATCGGCTTAATACATTAATATCTCGCATTTTCAGGGCAAA